ATTTGGTTAGGATATTTATAGTAAGCCTATGGAATCAAGAAATTAGATCATCAGTGGTAACTTAAGTATTGAAGAAATACAATAACTTCTTAAAGCATAAAAAGATCTAATTAGTATATCAGATAGCATTGTGGCTTTTATTAGCTATCATAGCAGTTGTTTTCAGAAAATTGTCTTAAAACAGCATATTCAGATGGATAAAACATTTGTAATAGGGCCTGCAAGGGAAACCACTATTAAAGTTTTACGAGGAAAAGAGCTGTGGTTTTGGTCAGCATTTGGCAATGACCTTAGTTATAATGAGCTCTTTTTGGCACTTAGGTATTTCTAAATCTCTTCATAAGAAATGCAAATGCATCCATTTTATACTAAATTCTACTCTTCCACATTTTAGAAAACTTTATACTGAGTTTCCAATCTAAACTTCTAAACTAGTGAAGGAATCTAAACCTTTTTTAGACTAGATGCAAATCAGCACATGATTTGATGAAAAGCAACTTTATTGTTGATTTTGGTAAGGAAAACTCATTGGGGAAAAAAGTCTGAAAATCAAGAGATTCAACATATTTAAACTGTCAGTACTATACACCATCTTCTGTAAATAACTATGGGTACAGTTATAAAGTTTAACTGGTATTGTTTAGAACAAGCAGAGCACAGTGATAGGTCCACAGAAGTGAAGGTAAGACTCTAAACTGGCACTGGATCAAAACTAACCTTGGAGGAGTCACAGCAGGAAATGTGGCTGAAATACAGACACCAGATCAGGGAGTGAACATTTTAAGAGGTGAAAATTCTGTGGTATGACAAAATTCTCAGGAATTGTTCTGTCTGTTCTGAAGTTGGTACCATATCATCTTTTATCATTGATAAATCTGCAGGCAACATTTAACATTGAAGATTCTCCTTTTCTTGTAAATAGGAATCCATGAACTGCTGATGCTATTTCACATTTATCAAGGTTGCTTAGACATCTCAAAATATAACTTGATTAATCTTTAGAAATTTATATATTTGGCTTCTTTCCATAGTTGACTTTATAATGGATAAATTTAAGGTAAATTATGAAATACCTGAAAGCAAGCTTTCACTATTTGAGTCTTCTTTCTCATAGTTCATTCCCTAAAATCAAAACAAGCAGAAAGAGAAAACAGTTCAGCCATCCTTTCATTTTTCTTCTTCATTTACCTCCTCAAATGTCCCACATGCCTAATCCTGCCTAAAGAGACTAGCCTTACAGTTAGAGAAATATTCCTTTAGGAATACATTGGAGACATATGGTAGTGTGATGGTCATCTTGGGTCTTTTCTCACAATGATAAAACAGAATGACAGTGGAAATAGGATAGGATTATAAGTTTTGAAACCCTGGAAAACATTTTCCCTTCTTAGGTGTTTTGTTTACATATTTTCTTTTAAAAAAATCAAATAGGAGAAAGAATTCTAAATGCCTGGTGATTTTATTTCCTTTATAGGAAACTTTGATCCAAAAGCCATGAATAATTTTTATGACAACATAGAACCTGGCCCAGTTGTACCACCCAAGCCATCTAAAAAAGGTGAGTAGACAATGATAGATATATCAAAATCCTTTGGGAGTTCAAATATATATCAGAAGAAATTCCCATTAGAGATATTTATTAACTTGTTCAGCACAAACAATGTTACCGTATTGATGTTACTGTGGCAATAATGAAATGTCTCCAAACTTTAAATAATGCTGCAATTAATAGAATTGTTAGAGGTAATTAAATGGGATATATAAAATTTATTTTTTAATTCTAAAACTTAGAGTTCATATTATGTGATAGTCACCTAAAATACCTATAAAAAATGGGGATCCCAAATCAGAATATCAGTTTTAAAATAAATACCATATGCCATTTTTTGTTATCTGTTACATGAAAACATTCAACTATAATCGTAGTTTTGGTTTTTTGGATTTTTACAGATATATACTACAGTAGAAGCTCTCTTAACTGACTTTCATTTACTCAACTCACCAGATTAGGATGGTCTTCCTTTTTCTCTGTAAAATATATTGGCTCATGTCCACAGCTGCTGCACACTCTTGACTAGTAGGATACATTCTGGTAGTCCCATGTACTATTGCTTCCATGGGTTAAATTGTCTGTGTCTGCTTACCAAGAGTCAATTGTGTCCCCAAATCTGTTATGCCAGTTACTGTATTTCTGCGGTTTAATGTTTCATAAACTAACATGCAGGAGAGAGCTGCTCTTTCTATAAAAAACCAAAGGCAAATCACTAAAAAGTCAGGGACTGTGAATTAGATATGGATGAAAAGAACTGAAAAAGGTTAATGGGGAAAATCATAAAAATCTAAAAGGATTCTGTACTAAAATTGCTTTATAAGTGTTCTTAGTATCTTTCTTGCTCCATTGTAAAGAAAACCAAAACAGAAAATTATAGATCAGGGTTCAGCAAAGGAGGGCCTGCTGTCTATTTTTGTAAATCAAACGTTTAGTGGAACAATAGCCACGCCCATTTGTTTACATGTTGTCTGTGGCTGCTTTTGTGCTTCAACAACACAGTTGTGTGCTTTCCATGGAGACTGTATTACAGGTCCACAAAGTCTAAAATAAAGTTTGCCAACCCCTACTTTAGGTCATCATGGGTATGGTTTATGTAAGAAAGACAGTATGGAATTCTAGTCATCAGACACATAAATAAAAGGCCTTTGTCTAACTTTAAGGTATTGCTATATTCAAATATGTTGTTTGTTACATTAAAGTTGACACATGTAATTTTTCTTAACAATTTTGTGTTTT